TTTCTCTAGCCACACACAGGCCTGATTGCTGCCACACCTGTTCACAATCAAGAAATCGCTTCAATCAATCAATCAATCAATCAGTCAGTCAATCAATCAATCAATCAATCAATCAATCAATCAATCAATCAATCAATCAATCAACAGCCTTTATTTCTCAAATACACTTCCATGTAGTCAAATATACTGTCATGTAGTGAAATTGGACCACCCCCAGACCATACACAAACATCACATTTCAGGGAAAAACAGGTCAACAGGGAGTAGCAAAAAGTATAAAAAGGAGGTAAGATACATTTCAGGAGAGAGTGATCGCCTTCGCCTAGAGCCAAAGAGAACTGCCTAGACCTGGAAATAGGACCTGTCTGACAAAGTGAATTAGTCCAAAATATCCTCAAAAACTAGACATCATGTTAAGATACAAAGAAATTCTGTTGTGTATCAAATAGCGCTGTCAAAATTAGTGTGTTAATGCATGCGATTAATTTTAGATAATTAACGCGTTAAAAAAATTAACGCAATTAACGCAGTTGCTGGTATTTTTTACTTCCTGTTTTGGTGGACGTGTGTTTAACATGCAAGAAATGTGGATAAGACCAAGGAAGCACTTTTTGAAGGCAAGTTTCAGTATAAAACAATTAGTCGCATCACCAGGCTATCCAGAGTTTCATCCAATTTCGGGTGTTTCATTTTTAACTTTCGACTTCTGTTGTAAGTTGATACCGCATGGCGAACAGAAAGAAAATCCTCCGCATTTCGTGACTCGGTGTTCCTTTAAGGTAATAAAATCACTGCTTAGGCTACACGGTAGAATTTTAATAAGAGTATATTCTTAATCATATTAATATCAGAGTATTGGTGTCTTATGTGAAAGTCTCTGGTAAAGTCGCGAGCTGTCAAAGACAGGGCATTACTCTGCCTTTCAGCATGAGCCCTCTGAGTTTAGCGTGTTTCCTCATTAAACGCAATGAAAGCGTATGCTTCGCGTTGTTGTGTCAGAATCCTTGTGAAATACAGTAATACTTTAGGACGTTTAGTTTAAGCAAATTTGATGAACGCGATCATGCGTGTTGAATCTGAGGGGAGTCGCTCCAGTATGGAAGGCCGTTGGGGCCAAAACGTCTGCAGCGCGTTGTGTGTGTGTGTCTGTGTCAGGCCCGTTGAGGGGTGTCAGGGGTGGAGTGAGTGACGTATCTTAGTAGGGGCGTGTGCGCGACATAGGCTACCTGAAGAGCTAGGAGGGATGCAGGGGAGAGGGTTGTGCAATGTATTTAACGACCGGTTTGCGAGAAATTATCTTTCATTTGCGGGCATTTGGGAGTCTCTGTGCACTTGCGGAATACTCCTAGTCTAAGCAACTGGATGAATGTAAAGGGGGATTAAGCAAAATTGTTTCTACTCTATAATTAATGTTCTCAACTCACAGCAATAAAACTTTACAATGAGTGCAACAGTTTGTATTCTATAGTTTATTATTATAATTTTTCATTTTCCATATCTGCAATTCCTGTATTTTGGCATTTTTTGCAGTCCACTTAGGATCCAGCATGGAAATCAATGTTTTCTTTATTGGCATTGATTGTTTTGAAATTTAAATGTCATTAACATGCCTGTGTTTTAATTTCTTTAATAAATATGGCTGTCAAGCCAGGATCTTGATGGTTTATTGTAGGTATGTTGTTTACATGAAGAAATCTGTGTCACAAGTTAAACAAAAATTCTATTAAACAATTATATTTTGAATTTTAATTCTAATAAACAATTATATTTTGAATTTAAATAGTTTTTGTCTTGCGATGACATTATTTTTACATTTGAATAGCCAAAATTACAAGTTTCAGTATTTTAAATGCGATTAATCGTGATAAATTTTTTTTAGAAAGGTGCGATTAATTAGTTAATTTTTTTTTTATCGATTGACAGCACTAGTATCAAAATATCCTGAAGGTGAATGTCGACCCATCTGTTAATAAACTCAAGCTGAAGCAAACTTGGGTTCTGCAGCAGGACAATGATCCAAATCACACCAGCAAGTCCACTTCTGAATGGCTGAAGAAAAAAAAAAAAAACTGTAGAGTGGCCTAGTCAAAGTCCTGACCTGAATCCAATTAAGATGCTGTGGCATGACCTTAAAAGGGCAGTTCATGCTCAAAAACCCTCAATTGTCAATTACAACAATTCTGCAAAATTTTATCAGGCCAAAACTCCTCCACAGTGCTGTAACAGACTCATTGCAAGTTATCGAAAATGCTTGATTACAATTGTTGCTGCCAAAGCAGTTATTAACTTTAGGGGACAAACACTTTTTTCACACAGGTCTATGTAGTTTGAGACTAATATTTGAGTTAGTTTGACAATCTGAAACAATAAAGTGTGACAAACACGCAAAAAGAGAAAAGAAAAAAGAAATAACACTAACACTTTTTCAACCCAAGCTCATTCTGGAAACGTAGCATTTACATGGCCGGAGGTACGTAAGGCCGCGTTTAGTTTTTTTTGAGCGAACACTGCGGGGCGGTGTGGCGCCGCTCCGCCCCTCCTCTTCGTGCTCGCCGGCCGACGGCTCGCCTCCGAGTGGAGGGCTTTCCCGATGCAACCAGTTTGTCCGCTTAGCTCACAGCATTGCGTCGGCAGAGCGGAGACCCCGGAGGAGGAAGAGGAGCCGGCCGCAGGGTCGACGACCGGGATCGAGTCCGGGGAACAGCGGTTCCAGAAATCAGGTAAGACAAAAAACGGAATCCGAAAAATAAGGGCAAGAACGCGGCGGGATCCGAAAACGTGGTCGAAATCGAAAACGAGGGCTTTTGCTTTTTTTTTTTTCTGGACTTTTTTTTTTCGCTTTTGTGAACCATGGCTCGGGTTTAGGGAAGGAGGAGGGTGGCCGAGTCGGCAAATGGCGCGCGCTCCCGAGAGGCGCCCGAGACGCAAAAAAGCGCACACAGTGGCCTCTCTCGGATCCGCGAAAACAAAAACCGCTCGAATACGTACCTCCCGGGACGTAAATCGCGGTCCGCAGAATGCTGCGGGGCTACGTTTCCACAATGAGCCCGGGTTGCACTTTTTCAAACAACTGGAAAAAAAAAGATATATATATATATATATATATATATATATATATATATATATATATATATATATAATTAAATTTATATATTCTAGCTATTTTATTTTATCATATATTAATAATTCTAGAGACATTTTTTCCTCAAGCTTCTTCACTTTCGTAGCAACTCACCTGAAGTATTTCTTACAGTAAGTGCCATGGCAGAGGACTAAACTCAGAAGTTTGGCAAATACTGCTGTAGTTGTCACACATAATGAATCATATTTTGTTGTGTAATAATGTAATACATTTATAGGCCAAAAATGTAGTTGTTTAGACTTATATGAGTTTTATTTGTTTTTTCTTAAAATGTTTTTTTAATTTCCAAAATGTTACATCCAGCGACATGCTCACATACCATGTCAAAAAAATTTAAACTAGAACGAATGTTAAGTTGTAGGCCATTGTCGTTATGATTCTAATTAAATGCAAGATCCATAGTTTTGTCATCAATAAGATATTGAGGTACATAATGCATGATTGAGCATCTAAAATGTATAGTTCTAAAGTGACATTTTAGTGACAATATATATATATTTTCAAAACATTTGGCTAATTTGTTCTTTGGGGAACCAAATACGGTTTGTCAAACCATGCAGTGCTGCTTTGTTTTTTTAAATTGTTTGTTTTTACATTATGATTGTTGTCAACACATGTAACTGTATATTAAGAGACATATTGGGAAACAATACATCAATTACACTATGCAGAAAACAATGGGCAATAAAAACAGATGAAATACTATTGTTAGGAAAAAATGTTCTAAACAGTACCAAATAGGGGTTCTTCAGCTTTTAACAACAGCAGAACCATTTCTAGTGCTATAATAGAACTATTTTCATAAATTTCCAAAAAGAACCATGCTTTGACCTTAGAAATATTGATAATAATATTTTCATAAATATTACAGTATTCACAATAGTAATAAGACCATTTATATCAGTAATATACGTATATTAGTAATAAAACATATATTTTATTAATATTAAAATCTTTAATATTAAGTTTGTATATTATTTGTAGTATTTTAGTTGTAGTATTTGTCTAGTCTTTTACATCTTAAAAAAAAAAAAAACATCCAACAGCTTGCACCAGTTAAATCATTTGATTTTTTACATTGATGTAAACTTGTGTTATAAATGACAGTTCTTGAATAAGAGTTATTAGCTTATATAGAGCTATAACACATTAATAAATTACAAATGACACTGAACATGAATACAAAATGAAGACTTTGAAGTGGCCTAATCAATGTCCTGACCTAAATCCAATTAAGATCCTGTGGCCTGACGTTAAAAAGGCTATTCATCCCCAAAAACCCTCAGTTATGGCTTAATTACAACAATTCTGCAATGAGTGGGCCAAAATTCTTCCACAGTGCTGTTGTAAGTTATCAAAATGCTTGATTGCAGTTGTTGCTTCTAAAAAAAACACATATTATAAATACCCAACAGCATGCACCAGTTAAGTAATTAAATTTTTTATATTGATGTAAACTCGTATTATAAATGACAGTTCTTGAATAAGAGTTATTAGCTTATATAGAGTTATAAGTAATTACTAAACTACAATTGACACTGAACATAAATAAATTTAAAATTACGATTTTGGAGAGGCCTAATCAACACCTGATCTGAATTCAATTGAGATGCATGAACTTAAAAAGGCTATTCATGCTCAAAAACCCTCAATTGTGGCTTAATTACAACAATTCTGCAAAGATGAATGGACCAAAACTCCTCCACAGTGCTGTTACAGATTCAATACAAGTTATCAAAAATGCTTGACTGCAGTTGTTGCTGCTAAAATAAAATAAAATAATTAAAATAATTAATTAATTAAAAAATAAAATTTAATAAAAATTAAAACATTATAAATACTTAACAGCAAGCACCAGTTGAATAACTTTATTTTTTATTTTGATGTATACTTGTTTAATAAAGGAGAGTTCTTGAATAAGAGTTATTAGCTGAACACATTAATACATTACAAACGACACTGAACATGAATAAATACATAAAGAAGTAAAAAAAAAAAATAAATAAAAAAAAAATGTACAAGCCATGAAGTACAAGTTCCTGTGAAATGTCTTCACAATCCTCTATGATGCCTTTATGTTCACTGTGAGTGTATTTTGGTCAACTGGAGGGGTATATCATCTCTGCAGATGATTTAAGATTTCACAGCATCTGAGAAACACAAATGAGCATGAAGTCATAGTGTGTCTCTTCCATTTGTTTAGGTACAAACAATTGTTTATGAAGGCCAAAATTAAGAAAATCATGTAATACCTTTGCTGTGTTAGAAAGAAAATGTCACAAGGTGTCTTTTATACATGTATATATTTATATAAAACCCATATTACTATATTATGTCCATAATCCCAAGTTATAATTAAGGGCAAAACATCTACTGTAGGTTATACTCACAGTGAAGAAGAGGTAGCCTCAACTGAGCAGTGCTGGTCATGTTCTGTTAAACTACAAACAGGAAGAAAACATGATTGGAATGCCAGCAAGTTACATTCTGAATGTTAAACTGCACAGACATTTTAATAATTCATCAATACCTGTTATTGACAGTCTGTGTAGTTCCAGTAACCATTATTGAGCTGCAGGTGTTAAATCTGAAAAACAAAAAGGCGGGAAATAAAGAACCCTAAACTCACCATTTCATATAAAGGGGGAACCAATAGGAGAGATGAATCTGATGATGCAATCCACGTGACAACTACAAACCACTGGGGGGAAATGTCATAACATGTTTTTTTCCATCTTGGTTTTATTATTGAGGCACGCTATGTGCAAAATTGCCTCTACAGATTGCTTATGCTTGCTGTGAGGAATTATTTCAGAAAGCTGGATAGTGAAAGTGGATGACGTGAGTTGTCTTCCATGTTTGGCGTCTTCAGTCTGATCTTACAGACTGACAGTAGAGCCATGCTCGTGCAGTCTGACATGCTACAATGGAGGATTATTAAAAATTGCACCATCTGAGCTGGGCTTTAGAGAGGTGAGTTTTTGTGCTGTGTTTGATTGCTCGTTAAATAGATTTCATGGTAATGAAAAGCTGGGTGGAGAAGTGATGCATGTGACAAGCAAAAACAAAAACAAGTCAAGCAAGTTTATGTTTCTTTAATGTGTGTCTATATAATGACAGAGAAAACAATTGAGACAAAAGGACACGCTACAGCAGCAGGAACCTGGTGAAAGGTGAGACAGAACATGCACGCATCTCGTAATATTAGGTTTATCGTGTTGTGTGCAACCTAGGCTAATTCTGATTATGCACTCCTATATACATTTCTGGAGAAACACCAAATACGTCCCAGGAGCTAAATTTTTTTTTTTGCGAATCCACCAGGCCGCTGGTCAAATTTCTCTGCGGCGAGCGCCATTCATGCCTGCTTTTCTCTGGTAAATTCACCAAAGACCGCTGTCGACTGACTGAATGACTGACTGACCCACCCTCCTCCTCACCTAAACCCAAGCAAATGTTTTCAAAAGCACCAGGCTGATTTTTACCACATTTTCTGATTTTTACCACATTTTCACCCTGTTATTTACTTGTTTATTTAATTTTTTGTCTTTTGTTTTTGTCTTACCTGCTTTCTGGAACCATTCTTCACAGGACTCGAACCCAATCGTCGTGGTCAACTCATCTCTGCATCTCAAATCCTCCGATGTACACGGCGAGCTACTCGACAAACTGGTAACAGCAGAAAAGCAGTCCACGCAGAGATAAACAGCTCGTAGCGGTCGTTTTAAAGACGAAATGGAGCCATAGGTTTGTCTGGCTACAAAATTCACAATCTCCAGAAATGTATATAAGGCTATGTTTTTACAGGAATGGTTTAAAGGTTTGAAATCACTTGAGGGTGATTAAATGCTTACAGCTTACAAAATTACTTTTGTGAAAATAAGACATGTTGTATTGGATGCAAAGGTAAATAAAGATTTTTCAATAGAGATACAGAAACAACTAAACACAACTCATGTGGGATGAACAAAAACGAGTTGAATCAAGCTTGAGGAATTCGTCGTGTGTTTATGGTTTAAAACTTTATAATTTACTTGAATAGCGTTGTTTTTATCTGTTAAAACATTAACTAATTGACTCACATTTTTATATTTAAGCAGGAACGACACTTTCTTGAAAAGTGGCACTTTCTGGCCTTGCTTTCTTGGTGGTTATGGAAATCACGGGGACCTCTAGTGGAGAACAATCAAATATCTCAAGAGGCTTAACTTTGTGCTTGTGCTTGGTAATAGTCCCACTGTTTGCTGTAGCCGTAGGAGTGTTTTATCAGGTAAGTAATAAGAATTTATGATTCTTTGACTTCATACTCCATAGTTTGTCTATAGTAGTGTAGTATTGGCCAATTTTCTAAATCGCAGGAAGCCTAAAAACTCCTCCTGCAAAAAATAATTAAGTAATTTATAATATTTCTTTTTTTAAAATTACAATAAATATAAATGTTATCATTATTAATATTAAAATTAATATTCAAATTATATTAGTAATTTGCTGTCATTTTTTTTGTATACTGTAGTACATTTTATTTAATTTTGCTGTTCTCACTTACATAATTGAACTATAGTGTCCTGTACTAACTAGTAAAATGTAAAAAAAATTATACCTGATGTCTGAATATATTTTTGTTTGGCTGTATTGTATTTAATGTGTTTTTACTGTCCACCACTATATTTTCATAAATTGAAGAGTTTAGTTAATCAGTTATCTAAAGATGCAGGTGCAAACATTGTTAATTTAAAGTGTCATGACCAGGAACAACATATCTGTAAAAAAGGACATGATTTTTTTTTTTATGAACATTTTTAAATATTAGAATTTATAATAATATGTAATTATATAAATCTATAATCTATATTTTTTACATAAATATCATATGAAACATAGGCTGATTCTGAATACTTGGCTCTATATTCAGTTGAAGTCAGAATTAGTAGCTACCTTCAAAATTTTTGTTCGTTAGGACGCAGTGTGAATCTAGGCTAAAGCATTGACTGTGAAACTACAGCATAATTTTATGTATCTGAAACCTTAATCAATACAATGTACCTAACTTTCAGGACTATGGCCAACAAAATTTGAATTCCAACTATTCCAGTGGTTTGCAACTATTCCATTTAGGTACTGCACTTTTTCATCTTGTGTGTAAAAATACTGATAGATACCATACATCTTTTAATTAATGACTTTGTGATACTTCACAATAACAATACATAAAGATACTAATAAGTAGATTAAACCTTACTTTATTATGAACTAGGCCTACTGGTGAGTTAGAGAATGCATTAATCAAGAACTCATGTTAACTACAATTACATAAGTCTGTGTGAGAATAATCGCTATACCTTAATTACTTGTTAGTACACATTTGTTAATTAAGGGACTACTACATCCATTCAGCCAGCGGTAGAAAAAATAAGCCACGCCCACTGTTTGCTCATTTAAAATTATGTTTCTCTAGGAACTGCGTCATAATACAAAAAAAAAAAAAAAACATCGCAGCTTCCGGTTCAGGTCATGAGTTCATGCTGGTTAAGTTGCACTTTTAATGAATTCTCATAGACCAAGTTACATTTAGCTTAAACTATAGTGTTTAATAAAAAAAAAGCATGTACTCACAAGTAATTAAGGTAGCCATTATTCACACATTAACCCATGTGATTCATGTTGTAGTTAAAAGTTACTTGATTAGGCCTTGCCTTAGCTCATCACTAGTTCATAATAACAGGGTATATAAATTGTGAAGTTCAGTATCTTTTAAGACTCTTTCCATGCATTTTAAGACCTCATTGCCACTTTAGGATTCAACCTGTAACATCGGCGACATTTTAACTTTCAGCATTGAACTTATTCTTCAATGTGGAAGTGCGCTCATTGTTGCGATTGTTTTAAAACTTCCAATTCATCTGCTTATGGCAGAAATGACTAGGGATAATAAACCGCAGAAAACGACCAAACTACTTGCTCTACAAATAAGTGTTTAGATGATTATACAGACAAAATCATATAAGAAAATGTCAGTTTGCAACATCAAGCAGCAGAACGAGCTGTTTTCGACCTCTAAAATAAATCGAAGTGTTAAAAAATGTTAAGTTTACTTCACTTAAATAGTGAAGTTGTCTTAACTAATGGACGTGGTCTAAGTTAACTAAGTTAAAATAGATAAGTTTTAATTAAGAATGATGTGGATACACTGTAAAGAAAATCGGTTGCCCTAAATTTTTAAGCTAAATCAAATTAACCATCCAACTTATATTATGTTAAAATGAAAATTAAAATAAAATTAAGTCAGAACATGTTTAACTTAGTTTAATAGGTTACAATGAACTAAAAACATGCTGTCAAAACTAATTGATTATATCATTTTTTACACTGTAGGAATTTATAAGTCAAGTGTAATAGACATGGTTTAAGTTTAGTGAACTTAAATATTGAAGTTGTCTTAACTTAGTTGCCTGTTAACTCGCTCGTTCACACACACACACACACACACACACACACACACACACACACACACACACACACACACACACACACACACACACACACACACACACACACACACACACACACACACTACGGTTTTGTGTCTTTGGGCTGTGAGGGAAACCAGAGCATCTGGAGGAAACTTGTATCCCTGTGACATAAACACAGTGCCACCATGTCACCCCATACTTGATGTTACTTACTTTCACTTTATCAGAATGACCAATGGTTCCACTAATGGACCATGGTTAATTTAATACTAAAAACAGATTGAAGTCTGCAAATACACATTTCACCAATGAAGTATGTATCTGAGAAAAACCTCACCACAACCTTAAAATGAGAAAATGACGGTTAGTGTTGCCATACACCTGAATGCTTCCAGGCCAAACTGTCCAATACCCCTCCCCCCCAAATACACAAAGAAAAATGCCTAAAAAATAAAAACGAGTAGGTACACACACTTGGTTTTTGTTAAATATTTAACATAAAATGCACGTTCAATATCCAAACTGATCCCAAACACTCCCAAATTTTGTCAACCTGTTTAAGCCATTTTTACCAGCATAATCAAAGTCTAAACATGCAGAAAGACTTGCATCATATAAGGTCATCCAAAAGTAAACAAATATAAATTTAAGTTAAAGTATTAAATAAATAATTTTTCAAAAAGAAGATAGGAATGAGGTTAAGCTGCGGTCACATTAGAGTTTGAGGATGCGATATTCTGTCGTGTGGCGCTGCAAAAAGGGGCGGGATTAAACAAGCTTATTAGACATTTTAAAAAGCGAGGGATTGCTCCATGTTTTAAATTTCTGTCCAGAGAGATCATGTTTTGATTCCCAATTGGTCTCACGCAGTCAAGTAATGCGATTTTGCATGTCAGAGTCACCAAGCGTGAACTTTGCACCACAACAACCTGCGAAACTTGACACAAGACCCCACGTTTTCTGGTCTGACGCATTTGCGTGCGTATGAATAGAAGTCTATGAGAGGAAAACCCCTGTGTGACCGCAGCTTTAGGCTGGATATTTATGTTATATTTGGAAAAATTCGATTGGCTAGCAAATGATTAGCCATAGGGACCAGCTGCAGTCAATCATATCATGTGCTCCTTTCGGAATTAGTTTGTGAAACTTCACTAAAAATGTA